GCCACACTGCCCTGGCTTTGTCGTGCTGACTTGTTTGCAAATATAAAGCAACAAGGGCTTCCAACAACTGGCAGTTCATGGGACAAGATTCCAATAAACATTTACAAAGTTCTACTGCAGCCTCATACCTTAACAAGAAAAAAACATGTCTATACATATTTTAAAAATCAACTTTTAACACAAGATTAACTGCTTGCCAATTAAGTTTTACCTCTCTAGAAGCTGGTGCAGAGCAATCATGTTTGTGTAAAGTGGAACACAGACCTCTGTTCTTTCCTCAACAGGAAGGCTCTCATCTGTGCAAGCTTTCACTGCATCTATCCAAAAATATCACAATAGCATGAATCAAACATAGAATTAATTATTCCACTGTTCTTTCAACTCTAAAAGACCAATAGGAGAAGATGGTCTAGCCCTTTGTTTGACCATCATCTTATTCTGAACTTCTGGCATTTATCCAAAGGAGATATTTCAGATATCTCTAAACTCATAAAATTCAATCTCTTACCCTCACTTTCCTGGTAAAAATAAAACAACCCAATATGAGATCTTGCTTCTATTGATATTTTCATTTAAACAAAGGTCCCCTTTATTTTCCTAAATTCCTTAAAACTTACCTTAAAAAAAGAAATCAAATTACCTTTTCTTCTTTCTCTGACCCACTTCAAGAGACCTTGACTGCTGTCATACAGCCATTTAAGTGTCTCCCCCCTAAACTAGATCTTTTCCTTACTCCTTCAAAATACACTTCCCCCTTGTAAAGAATACTTCACTTTAAAAAAAAAAAAAAGAATATTTTACTTGATCAGGCCACTTCTTAGAGAATAGTATCATGTTTTACTTTGTACAACTGTCACTATTTCCTCCTTGCCCAATGGTAGTATGACCCCCAGATCTGCAGAGTTTAAAAGTGAATGCCACTCTGAAACTATTCATTTGAAGTTCAGTTACAGGATCATAACTAAACAAACCTGAAAGCCTATCTCTACATTCATTTTATTTGATTAGCATTTGATAATGTACTTCCTCTTCTTTTTCTTTTCTTTTTGTCTCTGCTTCTAAATGATTGTTTATAAGTTCTCTTGGTCTCATATACTCCCTTTTATCTCTAACTACTATAGTTTTAAATGTCTATGTCCTCAGAGGAAATATCTCATAGCTTCAACTACTAAATAATTTACTGAAAGAGTACATTAAAAACTGCAAAGCACTTAGTAATTTAGTGACTTCTACGTTAATTAATTTCCAAATCCATTTCTCTACCCATAATTGTCCACTTTAGGTCCACTTACTTATCTTCCTTATTTCCTTCTGCCAACAGGCATTTCCAATTGGATGACCAATTACCACTCACAAATACTATTCCTACTACCAAAATCAGTCTTCCCAATTTATCAGTTTTCTACTAATGCACTTTCCTTTGCTGGTCTCAAGACCCTGAATTCATCTTTGACTATGTCGTCTCTCCTTCCCTGACATTTAATCTGTCCCCTGCATCTCTATATGCTAACTTCAAATATCTCTAATAAATACTCTCCCTCCCAGTTTACTTTTTTTGTGCCTCAGTTATGGCAATGAGTTTCTGGTTGGTTTTCCTACCTGTGGTATTCTCTTCAGCACATTTTTTTTTCTTTCTTCAAGAACCTCTAATGTCATCAAGTCTAATACACTTATACAAAGTTGAAAATTTGGTAGGTATCATTCCACTTATGAAAGTTAATTCCTACTATTCTTTAGCACAGAACTCTCACTTTAATAAGGACCCTTCCTTCTTCTAATCTCCCTTCAAATCCAATGTACCAATTCTTACCCACTTGTTGCTTTTTGTTTACTTAGCTCCCCTAACAGGAATGTCCTTTTTTCCCTTCCCTTCTTCCCTGGTTTATTCAATAAACATTTATACTTAGCACAAAGTCAAACATTGTAGGCACTTGGAAAATGTAGACATAAGACAAGGATTCTATCTTTGAAGAGGCCCATTAAGTCACATCATAGTTGAGCTTCAGAATCCAGCTCTAAGTCCTAATTCTTCTATGAAGACTTCCTTGATCATGCCAACCTACAATGTCTTTCCTTTGGATTTATGGCCTGTACCATATAATTGTATCAACCACAGATTCTAATCTCTTCTATAAGCAGAGATTTTAGACTATATACTAATTCACAGTTATCTGGCCTCATCTCTTAATAATTATGTCAAATGTATAGATTTTATCTTCTGACTAGGTCCGTGGTCAACAAACTGCGGCTCGCGAGTTTGCCCCTTGAGTGTGTCTCTTTGGCCCCTTGAGTGTGGCTCTTCCTAAGCCTTAGGAGTACCCTAATTAAGTTAATGACAATGTACCTACCTATATAGTTTAAGTTTAAAAAACTTGGCTCTCAAAAGAAATTTCAATCGTTGTACTGTTGATATTTGGCTCTGTTGACTGTTGACCACTGGACTAGGTTATATATCTCTTAGTAGGAAGGAATAGGCTTTATACCTTATGTGTCCCACAGCAGATAAATTATTTAGTATATAGTAACAATCAAATTCATTGATCGATGGATCAAATATTAATTACTTGAAAAACAAGATACAATCTTTAACTTTCACCTTGATAAACTGCTTCTAAAAATTCAATCAACTCATTAAACCTATCAATCTATTAATCTAGCTAATATCCTTTGCTATAATCAGAAAAACTAATTATGTAGTATTAATTATGTACAGTTCCTAGCCTTCATAGATGCCAATGCCAATCTCTTCTGATTCAATCCTTAATCTTCAACTATAGCATAGAACTACAACTTGCAATTATAAATCTGTTTCACTTAATTATGAAGAACCATAAAAGGGTAAGTGATATTTTAATATTATTTATAAACATTTATACTTACCTTCAAACACTGCTAACAACATATCAGGATTAGTCTTTACATCTTGAACTGTTTCCAAGGATTATAAATGGTTCTGTGTTAACAATTCTTGAAGGATTGGCATTAGATGGATCATAAAATTTTGAAGGGAGACTGTTGAATTCAATAAGATGTATGTAGGCCAGCCATGCCAAACATCGATCACTTGTTTTAAGGTACTCAGATACTATTCCATCATTAACCGATTTCAATGCATTCTAGGTAAATGAAAAAGTAAACTCAGGGTTTTTTTTAAATAATGACTCCTATTCCTGAGATTCAAATGTAAAGCCAACAATGAATAAAACAGTTGTATTTCTTTGGAGTGGTTCTTAAATACCTACGTTAAAACTTTTGAAAGCCACCAATTTGTTTTTAATCAAAAACTTTTTAGAAATATCAGTATCAAATTAACAAATTTTATTATGCAAAGGTTCATAACATACTTAATGAAAAAGATTAAATTTATCTGAACATTTTCAGTGTCTTGTTATTCAAAATCTAGTAAGATAAAGAGAAATTAGTAAAAACAAACAAAACTCTGCATCCCTATAGCAGATTTTCACAATGAACTAATTTTTTTACCTTATTGTTTGAATACTGAAATTTATTCTGGTGGGTACTGGACATACATTAGTTTCCTTTAAACCTCATAAACACTCTAAAGAAGGTATTATCCCCACTAAGTAAATGAGGAAACAATCATAAACTTACTCAACTTCACACAACTTACTAGTAAGTGGTAAAACAAGAATTCAAATCTAAAGCCAGTTCTCTACAAAGTATAATTAAATGCTACAACAACTATTTACCTGTAAAAGTGCAAGTGCACTTTGGGATCTTCCAGTAAATATGTGCAGCTGAACTCTAAACAAAAGAGCCTCTAAAAGCTGAAAGGACAGAATATCTGATGCTTCCCGTTTGGCTGCTCCCATCAGAAATTCCACCATTCTCTCACATACATAATCCTTTTCTTCAAAGGTGCTTTCTAGGTGCAGAAACTGCCCAAAGAGATTTCATAAAATTAATCATGCTTCATAAGATAAGATGTAAAATGCATATTTTTCACATCTCATTATGAAACTGTCTCATATTAAATCTTCAATTTCTACAAAAAGGAAAATTATAAATATACATAAACTCATCTTCCAGTACTATAACCTAGGTTTCCCCTTCTACCACAAGTTGGAAAGTAAAATCAGATGAACACTAGAATAATACTGATGTACTCTCAGAATTATCACTGAAAAAATTCCATCTTTCCTTTCCTTGAACCAATAGGTAAATGACAGCAAGACTATGATATATCTCCAAAAATTCACATTTATGATCACATACATTTTGCATTGCTTAGGTGTGTGACTATATAAAAATTCTAAAAATAGCATTCATGTTAGAACTAGATGGCAAAATAATTAAAAAGACTTAATCAGCCTGGCCAGTGTGGCTCAGTAGTTGTGTCAACCTATGAAACAGAAGGTTCAATTCTTGGTCTGGGCACATGCCTGGGCTGTGGGATGGATCCCCAGTAGAAGGCATGCAGAAGGCAGCCAATCAATGATTCTCTCTCATCGATGTTCCATCCCTCTTTCCTCCCCCTTCCTCTCTCTGAAATCAACAAAAACATACTTAAAAAAAAAGAAAAAAAACTTAATCGAGAAATGAAAAGGCCCTTTAAAACCAAACAACTTTAAGGAAAAATATTACATCCTAAAAATCTGGTGGTGGTCAACAGCATTAATTTGGTACTACATGGCATATTTCACTGTTCACATCTATTCAGTACTTGTGTTAGGCTAGAGTGGCAAATTAATTCATTAAGGGATACCATGTTATACAATTCTTATTTGTCCCGAATTTCAATTGGCAAGAAAATGATAGATCTGACAGTAATTGATTTATCGGAATGTGTATCTGAATCTAACAGCTCCTGAGTTTAGCTGGTAAGAGTTCAGATATTAATAAATATTTCTTTTACAGGTGGATTCATTAAAATTTTAAGTTTAAACCTGAGTAGGAAAGGGACCATTCTCTCAGAAAATGAGGAAGACCTATTTTTCCACCAAATCTTTATATGTTGGCCAGGTTCAATATTAGTATGAATTACAGATTAATATTTATTTCTATAAAAATGAGGACAGCCAGGCCAGAGTGGCTCAGTGGTTGAGCATCGAACTATGAACCAGAAAGTCACAGTTTGATTCTCAGTCAGGGCACATGCCCGGGCTCAATGCCCAGTGTGGGGCGTGCAGGAGGTAGCCAGTCAATGATTCTCTCTCATCATTGAGGTCTCCCTCTCTCTCTCTATCTCTCTTTCTCACTCTCCCTTTCTCTGTAAAATCAATAAAAACATATTTTTAAAAATGACAGATAATATATTATTTCTTGGCATTCATGGAAATGTTTTACATGAATAAGAAATTCAAAAGAAAATTTTTTTTCAGATGCTTTGCACAAAATTCACTTAACTTCACACAAACTAAAACTGCTTAAGAGCCCTGGCAGGGTGACTAAGTTAGCTGGAGCATTGTCCGTACACCAAAAGGTTGCAGGTTTAATTCCCAGTCATCGCACATACCTAGATTACAGATTCAATCCCCTGGTCCGGGAGCATGTGGGAGGCAACCGATCAATGTTTCTGTCTGTCTCTCTCCCCTTCCCTCACCTTCCTCTCTCTCTAAATATAAAAACATATCCTGGGGTAAGGATTAATATTAATTTTTTTTTAAAAAAACTGCTTAAGAATAGGTAAGTATTAAAATGATTTAAAATGTTCATTTTTTTCTATGCCAACAAAGTTAGTTATACAACAACAAAAACCACCTCTTCACTAAGTATTTTCTTCTTGTTTAATCTAAATTAATCTAGACACAGAAGTGGTTTTGAGGTTACTGGACACCAAAAGTAAAGGTATCATATCTATATGCAAATAAAGAATATGATCCATTAAGCTATATATCAATATTTAAGATGACCCAGAGTTATAAACACATATACACACACACCCACACGTGCACACACAGGACTATGTTATCTTTTCTACTCACAGTCCAAAAACTTTGATAATCAGGAGCATATTCAACAGCTGTTTCACACATTTCCTGCACCTCCTCCTTGGTTCCTCTTTTAGAAAACAATTTGAGATAATGGCACCAAATTTCTGGGTTGTCTTTGTTGTTTTCCAAAGCCCGAGCCAGAACATTTAAAGCAGAATCCAAAGACTCTGAACATAGCCTACATGTTTAAAAGAAAAGCAAGAGGATTTTTTTTTTAATGTTTTGAAAAGTTTTAAATTGAGCTACTCTACTGAGTCAATTTTTAAATTCCATTTTCTACTAGAACCTGCCAAGAAACTAGTCACATATGACAAAGAGTGGTAGATCAAGATTTTCTGTCACATCTGTTCCTATTTCCCATAGACCCAACAATTCCTTTCTAAGTGGATGCTCAGTTAGCATTTACCAGATAAAACCACTGTGTTATAAAACCACTAAATTATCAACTTCAAATGTGCTTTATGTCCATACTCAGCAATACCTTTTTATGATTTACACTGATCTGGGAATGGGAAAAGTTAAACAATTCTCCCTCAAAGGCCAGCTACTGCCAGTACAAAATATCAAAGCTTTCAATATAATAGTTCTTTTCAACGGTCAAGGTCTGGCTATATCTTGGAGAAGATAATTGTCTCTCATGATCCTATTCATACAATAATGTACAGTTCTTTGGCCTTCACTCAGTAAATGAGTCAGAAAAGAAAACACTGCAACTTATCCCATTAACATGGAAATGACACACAGGGCTCGTTAAATAAGCACCATATTCAGGTATGTAGGTGTATTAGCATTCTGCAGTGCTGCCTTATTAAAAAAGCTTTTATACTGAGTTCTAAGATAGACAATCAAAGTAGCCTGTTAAAAAAAAAAACAGAATTATTATCATTTTAAAATTGAGACAATAAAAGATTCCTGGTAGTAAGATTATTTCTGATAAACCTATCAAAAAGTAGGTTAGAATATACATTTATACAAAAGAAGCTGCCAACTGTGAGATTAATTATTATTTACCTTATTTGCATACATGTAATATAACACTACATGCAGAAAACAGGCAAGTCACCAGAATTTAGAGGATCTTAAACAAGCTTTAAATCTCCAAATGAAGATTAACAAAAAAATTTAACCTGTCCCACTACTTTTTTAAAAACCCAATAAATAATCCTTATACCACTAAGAACTTATTGTTTTAACTAATCCTACTTTGAGATAAGAGCTCACTAGAGTTAAAAACTATAGCTAATTTATTACCTATACACTGAGACATGCACACAACTCAAGATCTAATCTTAAACATTTTCTAATAGCTTTTAAACAATAAAGTGCTTTAGCTCTGTCAAAAAAAAACAAAGGCTCCATTGATACTAGGAAGGAAATATGATTACCACAGAAGGAGTGAACCTCAAACACAAAAATATAAATGTGCAACAGTTTACACAAAGACTAGTAGTAGACCTACCCTTCATTTTGACTCAAGTACTTGTATGCAAGCTTGAGCCAAAGTTGTACATGAGAAGGATTTTCAAGCACACTTGCTTCTAAATTAGCAATGTCATCAGTCTCATTTGTAAAGTATCTGACATCATCTGGAGTCACAACTGTATCCAAAGCTGGAACTTTTATTCGGTTCTCTGGCTGAAAGGCTATAAAAAGATATCATTAGTTTCACACTTTCTCTTACCCACAGACACAAGAAAAAACAACTGGTCTCATCTTTAAACTAGGACTCTACTGGGCCAAACAGAAGTATGGTCTCCCTACTTTAAGGTAAGTGCCATCACCTGATAATTCACATTCATTAAATTATAAGAGAAAGTTATAATTTATGAAGATTCTTTATTCCACTATATCTAAATTAAGAGAAAAAGTGTTAATGTAAATAAGCACAAGAGAGCATACACCTATCAGGTATCTGCTAATCCACAAATAGCAAACAAATTATGTAAACTTGAGATTATAATGCAAGATGTGCTTGACAATAGGCACTCATTCGTATATTACTCTGCTCATTCATTTATTCCTTCATTTTGTGAGCCTACTTACTGCATGTCAGAAAATACAGGCTCAAATCAAAGATTAAATAAAATAAAACATCTGCCCTCAAAAAGACACAAGCCAGGCAGTGGTTTGAAGTTGTCATGATTACTAAAGAGTCATCCCTGGATTTACTGGGCCATACAAAATGCCCTGCAATGCAAGGGGCAGTTCTACACAATGAAGAACTACTACTAATTGCCTTAAATGCCAAATGGCATAACTGGTTTTTAAAAATAGAAATAAAAAAATAAAAACATCTACAATAGTAGATACACCAAAAGATTAGTAAAGTGGAACACCACAACTGAATGATTCAGGATCTTAAATTACTTCTTACCATACTTAATTGGTCCTGTAGACTGTTCATCATCACTACTGAAACTATTCTCTGAAATAGGTTTTCTCCAAAACTTTGGCTTCCACTTTCTTTTATCTTTGTAGGTTGTAAATGGAGGTGCTAAAGTAGACAGGAAATGACTTAGTTGACACACCTAGTTTTTATGGTTTTGAAGGCTACCCAAATAACACTAAAAAAGAGCTAAATTTATTCTATTGTGTTAGAAATGACTTATATACAGCGTGTCCCAAAAAAATGTATATGTACTTTAACAGTTGATAGCTCAATTTTGAAAATGAAATATATTTTAATAAATACTGCCTTTATAATTATTCAAAGTGTGTGTATACGTTTTTTGGGACACCCTATATAATTTTTTTATATTGAGAACATAATGCCAGAAAATTTGCTGTCATAAAGATACTACAATATCCTTTTGTGAGAGGGAGAGACATATATACTCACTATGGCCTTTACTTTCATTGATATTGCTAACAAGAAGAACCGCCATCTGGTCCATTGACATTCGATCTTTGTTTACTCCAAAAAGTTTCTCAACATATTTTTCTGAAATTAGACCAATGCTATTGTCATAAAAAGCATAAAAAACATGGATTTCAGAGAAGAGGCTAATTAAAGAGTATAAAGTGAAGAACAGTTTAAGAATTAAAGAGAAGTATATGGTAGTAGTCAAAAACACCTACAGCTTCTAGAGGGCAAGGACCACATATTAACTACTATGCAAATCTTACCACATCATGCATTCCAATTTGAGCTGAAAAAAATATATATTTACTGAAACCAACTAAACAAGTGAAAGTTAAAGCCCAAATAGGGAATGATTACATTCAGTGACTTTACAATCACTTTGGTTGTGATAACAGTCAATTTAATAAACTTAATATCTGGCACTGAATCTAGGGAAAAATTTAACATTTACTCATTAATGTCTGACAATAACCTATGCTTTCTATAATATCAAAGTGTACAAAGTCCTTTTTATCTCATTGTAGAATCTGAAACTACAGACATCTTTCTTAACTTCCAACTCTCCTTTATTTTTGAAAAATATAATAAAAAGAGCTCTATTTTAAAATCATTACTAAAATTTCTATACAAATGTTTATATATTCTTCCAAATAAACTAAACTGTTTAGATGCGTTCTATCCAAATGACATTCAATGATAGAAAGGTCTTATATCTTGCACTGTCCTATTGGTAAAGCACTGAGCACCACTGAGCTACTGAACTCAATAGTGGCTATAGGGCACTGAAATGTGGCTAGTGTGACTTGATAGAGTACATTTTAATTTAGGTTTGAATAGCAACGTATAGCTAGTGATTACTGTATTGGACAGAGAAGATCTAGATAAAGTGTCATAGGTCAATATACTGAATTATGACAGCAATTAAAAGATGTCAAAAAAAACTGAACACTACGTTTTTAAATTGCCTAAATTCAAATTTTCATTTCGGGAACAAGAAGAGGTCTTCAATAACCTGCTGCAGCAGCAATTTCTTCATCAGTGCTTGTCTCTGAACAACCAATCAAAGACAGATTATATGACAGAATGTCCTGGAATAGCTGTTTTCGGCTAAGCGTATAGTCTTGTGTATGCTGCCTAAAATAAAATGACAACACAGAAAAGATAATCATGTACGTATCAAAGTCCAAATAACCAAAACTGTCTTTTAGATTATAAAATGTTCACATATTAAAACTACTCACCACTGACAATCATCATCATTACAGGTTCCTGTTAAATCAAAACGGCAGAAACACTGATCCGGTTCAATCATATTACTGTATGATACTGAGCTTAGGGGAAGTTTCTCCTTAGTTCGATAGTATGGACTAAATCTAAGAAGAGAGATGGACATATTATGTTCCATAAACATAACCTAGAAAAATTTTCCTTCCCAACTAAAATTTCTATACTTAAATACTTAATAGCAACCACGCCCCCAGAATATAAAGTGATAGGGACAAACTACTTTTATACCCAGAACATAAAAGACCTGAAATAGAAAACAAAAAACTCTGTATTTTAAAAGTAGTGTTTTTACATCACATAATAAAATACTACATAATGTTGGTATTTCTTACAATGTCACCAGCCAACAAAAAAAACTAAGGAAAAAGTCTGTACTAGTAGGTGCTTTACAATTTTACAATTGAATCATACCCATTTAACAGGCTCACAACTTCTAGAAGTTTAAAAGACAAATACAACCTCCCACAAAATTAATCATCTGAGAATACCTAAATCAATTTTATGAGAGCTGGCCAAGGCATTCCTTACACATGGTAACAGTAAAATTAAAAATTATTGTAGGACTCCAGTTATTTTTTCCTAAAATCTCTAACAGGCAATCATCAAGAATTCACAATTCCGAGAAACCAAGATGGTGGCATAGGTAAACACCGGAAATTGCTGCCTCACACAACCACTTCAAAAATACAACTAAAAGACAAAACGGACATCATCCAGAACCACACGAAGGCTGGCCGAGTAGAAATTCTACAACTAGAAGGAAAGAGAAAAGCACACTGAGACTCAGAGGAGAGGCACGCGTGGAAAGGGCTGGCAACTGAGGACACGGTTGTCTTTTTCAATCAGGAGGGAGTCTCAAGCTCCTGACTGCTCTGAACTCCAGTTCCGGGCGAGTCTCTGGGGACCCAGACTCATACGGGGAGAAACTGGACTATCTGGCAGCAGGAGGAACTCGAGGGTGGCTTTCTCTCAGAGGTGCCTGCAGCAATTACCGGGACACTGAGAGGCAGGGCCTCTTAGGGTAGGACTGAGGATCAGCCATAGCTGTTTGCTCCGCCCTGTTGGCCCCGTTGGCCCCACCCCACCCAAGCTGTGCACAGAGGATTTTGCATATGAATGCCCTTTGCAACCTGAAAATTACCTAACAAACTGCAGCTGGGTCAGAGAGACCCAGAACTTCCAAAAGAAGGCCCAAGGCCCCACAGCAGCTTGCATTGCTTCACAGCTGGGCCTCATCTGGGCACCTCCAAACCCCAAACAAGGAAAAGGAATCTGCAGGTCTCTCCATAGCTCCTGCTGGGTAGCCTCAGGCAGAGGCTAAATTAGCACCTCCTTAGAGATCCAAGAGCCAGTGTACCCAGTGGTCAGAGTGGGACCATCCAGATTACAACTCCTCAGATCCATAAGGGACACACTCAGGGGGCAGACTCAGTGAGCACCAAAGCCCCACTGAAGCAAGCCTTGCCCCAGAAGGGTGTCTCCAGCACAGAAGTTCTCCCACTGCAGAAACAGCTGATTCTCACTGCCAATTGGCCTGGAGGTCAATTCCTCCCAGTGATACCTACAACAATCAAGGCTTAACTACAACAAGACTGTGCACAAAGCCCACAAAGGGGTGCACCAAGAGTGTCCACCTCAGGTAATTGGGCAGGCTGAGCCACTGGGCCCTATAGGACACCTAGCACACAAAGCCACTCTATCAACACAGGGAAGCAGCCATAATGTGAAGACAAAGAAACAGGTCACAAATGACAGAAATGGAGGAAAGCAAACTACTGGATATAGAGTTCAAAACCATGGTTATAAGGTTTTTCAAGAATTTTCTAGAAAGCACCGATAAATTTAGTGAGACCCTCGAGGATATGAAAAAGGACCAACTAGAAATTAAGCATACACTGACTGAAATAAAAAATATTATTCAGAGACCCAACAGTAGACCAGAGGATCCCAAGAATCAAGTCAAAGATTTGAAATATGAAGAAGCAAAAAACGCCCAACCGGAAAACCAAAAAGAAAAAAGAATCCAAAATATGAAGATAGTGTAAGGAGCCTCTGGGATAACTTCAAGCATACCAACATCCAAATTATGGGGGTGCCAGAAGAAGAGAGAGAGCAAGATATTGAAAACCTATTTGAAGAAATAATGACAGAAAACTTCCCCTACCTGGTGAAAGAAATAGACTTACAAGTCCAGGATGCTCAGAGAACCCCAAACAAAAGGAATCCAAAGAGGACCACACCAAGACACATCATATTTAAAATGCCAAGAGCAAAAGACAAAGAGAGAATCTTAAAAGCAGCAAGAGAAAAACAGTTAGTTACCTACAAGGGAGTACCCATAGGACTGTCAGCTGATTTCTCAACAGAAACTATGCAGGTCAGAAGGGAGTGGCAAGAAATATTCAAAGTGATGAATACCAAGAACCTACAACCAAGATTACTTTACCCAGCAAAGCTATCATTCAAAATTGAAGGTCAGATAAAGAGCTTCACAGATAAGAAAAAGCTAAAGGAGTTCATCACCACCAAACCAGTATATATGAAATGCTGAAAGATATCCTTTAAGAAGAGGAAGAAGAAGAAAAAGGTAAAGATACAAATTATGAACAACAAATACATATCTATCAACAAGTGAATCTAAAAATCAAGTGAATAAATAATTTGATGAACAGAATAAACTGGTGAATATAATAGAATCAGGGGCATAGAAAGGGAGTGGACTGACAATTCTCAGGGGGGAAGAGGTGTGGGGGGTGCGGGAAGAGACTGGACAAAAATCATACACCTATGGATGAAGAGTGGGGGTGGGGGGTAAATGCAGAGGGTGGGGTGGGAACCGAGTGGAGGGGAACTATGGGGGGAAAAAGAGAAACAATTGTAATAATCTGAACAATAAAGATTAATTTAAAAAAAAAAAAGAATTCACAATTCCACCAGTAGCAAGAAATTAGAAAATGATAATAATTAATAAACTCAAGTGTGAGCTAACCCTTATTTCCTGATACGGTTTGTATTAGACAAGACATTAATTTTTACTTTCCCTAAAAGAGCAAATTCATTTTTCAGTGACCATGATTCAATTTCTTCTTTCATTATCATCAAATATTCGAAGTTAAGATATCAAAAACAGGAGTAATCCTGAAACTGAAGTTCACTGAATCTTTCTTTTATACCTGTAGGACTTAAAAACCAGAAGAGGGCTGTGGTAGGGACTAAAAGGACATGGCTTCACTTCTGTTGTTTTATTCTGTGCTGTCATAAAATCTACATCCACAGAAATCTCCTGCAAAAGAAAACAATAACTTCATAAGGCAAATAAGGCTAGGGTGAATTCTACATTTTTTTAAAGAATATGAAATGTTCCATTACCTGACCACACAAAACCTTTCCTGTAATGCCTGTTGTGGTTTTTAAAATCAGTTGTTTTAAGCTGTCAGCTTTTGAATATAATTTTTGCAATTCACCAATTTTTAACCCTAGAAAAAGTTCTGGTTTTTCTACCATGTTCTTAGCTTTGTTTACACATTCTTTGTTAGGTGTATCAGTGTGTTTAAGGTTAGGTTTAGTAAAAGAATTGGATTCTAAGAAGGATCTTCTTCGTTCCCTGTTTGACCCAGACAAAATCTCATCATCAACATCATTTTCTTCAGTGTCCAGACTCAATTTATCTTGAGTCAGATCGTGAAGTGAGGGTTGAGGTAAAGAAAATTCAGGTTCCTCTTCCACAACTGGAGCGATATTTTGTTGTTCCTTTGCTTTAAGGGCCCGAGCTTCTTTTAGTTTCTGAATTTTCAGAGCATATTCATATTCTAGCTTTTGTAATCGTCTTTTTTCCATAGCAATTAGTTCTGCTGAATGCTTTCTTGGACTTGATACTGGAGAACTGTCCAGTCTCATCATTTTGTTTGGCTGGGGGAAAAACGATATAAACATTTTATATCGCTATGATTTTATAAACAATTTCTGGTAACTGTGCTATCCCCACAATACAATGCCAACATTATAAAACTAGATAACGAGCATAAAACAGTTTTACAAGTCTCCAACAGTTTTGCTAGTTAATCTATAAAACAAAACAAAAAACAAAGTAAAGTCAAAATAAATAAACAAGGTTCCAAAAACATGGATGTCATTTGAAAACAAAGCTTTAATCTTATTCTATTTGAATATGCAGGAATGAGTTACTTTATCTATCTCTTACCCTCAAAACTATCATAAAAACTTTCTTCTTTCCAAAAATAAAATATTTCTACAAAGAACTTACTCCAAAGCGATCTTGTTCCAGTTTTCGTTTTCCTATTTCTTTACTAGCCACTGCCTTTGCCCGAGCAAACTCTTCTCCATACTTTAGAGTCAAAGCTTTTTTAACTGTAACACGTTGTTGCACTTTGTGAATCTGAAAATAAAGGATAATTCTAAAAATGTAAATGTAAACCATAGAAGAGCAAATAACTTCTTTTTAACACAGCAGGGCATTCAATGGAAAATATAAATATTCCAATATTATGTCTCAAAGGAGAACATTATTTTATTAAAAATTTGGCCAATAAGAACAAAGTAGGTGGGATCTCAATACCAGATATCAAGCTGTATTACAAAGCCACTGTTCTCAAAACTGCCTGGCACTGACACAAGAACAGACATATAGATCAATGCAATAGAATAGAAAACCCAGAAATCGACCCAAACCAATATGCTCAATTAGTATTTGACAAAGGAGGCAAGAACATACAATGGAGTCAAGACAGTCTCTTCAATAAATGGTGTTGGGAAAATTGGACAGATACATGCAAAAAAATGAAACTAGACCACCAACTTACACCATACACAAAAATAAACTCAAGGAAAAAAACCAAGATGGCAGCATAGGTAAACACCAGAAATTGCTGCCTCGCACAACTACCTCAAAAATACAACTAAAAGACAAAACGGACATCATCCAGAACCACAGGAAGGCTGGCTGAGTGGAAATTCTACAACTAGAAGGAAAGAGAAAAGCACACTGAGACTCAGAGGAGGTGTGGAAGTCAAGTGTAGAGGTACAGAGGCACGCGTGGAAAGGGCTGGCAACTGAGGACACGGTTGTCTTTTTCAATCAGGAGGGAGTCTCAAGCTCCCGGCTGCTCTGAACTCCAGTTCCGGGCGAGTCTCTGGGGACCCAGACTCATACGGGGAGAAACTGGACTGTCTGGCATCAGGTGGAACCCGAGGACGGCTTTCTCTCAGAGGTGCTTGCAGCAATTACCGAGAAACAGTGAGACCTGGGGCCTCTTAGGGCAGGACTGAGGATCAGCCATAGCTGTTTGCTCCGCCCTGTTGGCCCCACCCCACCCAAGCTGTGCACAGAGGATTTTGCATATGAATGCCCTGGCCCTCTGCAATCTAAAATTACCTAATTGCAGCTGGGTCAGAGAGACCCAGAACTTCCAAAAGAAGGCCCAAGGCCCCACAGCAGCTTGCATTGCTTCACAGCTGGGCCTCATCTGGGCACCTCCAAACCCCAAACAAGGAAAAGGAATCTGCAGGTCTCTCCATAGCTCCTGCTGGGTAGCCTCAGGCAGAGGCTAAATTAGCACCTCCTTAGAGATCCAAGAGCCAGTGTACCCAGTGGTCAGAGTGGGACCATCCAGATTACAACTCCTCAGATCCATAAGGGACACACTCAGGGGGCAGACTCAGTGAGCACCAAAGCCCCACTGAAGCAAGCCTTGCCCCAGAAGGGTGTCTCCAGCACAGAAGTTCTCCCACTGTAGACACAGCCGATTCTCACAGCCAGTTGGCCTGGAGGTCAATTCCTCCCAGTGATACCTACAACAATCAAGGCTTAACTACAACAAGACTGTGCACAAAGCCCACAAAGGGGTGCACCAAGAGTGTCCACCTCAGGTAATTGGGGAAGCTGAGCCACTGGGCCCTATAGGACACCTAGCACACAAAGCCACTCTATCAACACAGGGAAGCAGCCATAAATGTGAAAGACAAAGAAAACAGGTCACAAAATGACAGAAAATGGAGGAAAAGAAAAACTACTGGATATAGAGTTCAAAAACCACGGTTATAAGGTTTTTCAAGAATTTTCGTTTTTTTGGAGAGACCAAGATGGCGGCGTAGGTAAACACCGGAGACCGCTGCCGCAAACAACCATTTCAAAAATACAACTAAAAGACGGAACGGACATCACCCAGAACCCAGGAAGGCTGGCTGAAGAGAGACTCTACAACTAGAAGGAAAGAGAACAGCAAACCGAGGCTCAGAGGAGGCGCAGTGTGGAAAATACAAAGGTACCGAGGTGCGCGCGAAAGCGGGCTGGTGGCTGAGGGGGCGGTTGTCGTTTTCGGTCGGGAGTGAGTCTCAGACTCTGGGCTCCAGATCTGGGCGAGTCTCTAGGGACCCAGACTCAAACGGGAGAAGCGGGATTATCCGGCATCAGTTGGAACCTGAGGGCAGCTTTCTCTCCGAGGTTTGCAGCGGCTGCCGGGGTTCTGAGAAGCAGAGCCTCTGGGAACGGGACTGAGAGCGGCCATAACTGCTCCCTCCGCCCGCCCTGTTGAGCCCACCCCGCCCAAGCCCTGCGCACAGCCATTTGCCGATCGCCTCAGGCAAAGGCTGGATTAGCGCCTCCCCAGAAGACAGACGTTTTCCACACAGCTGATTCCTACAGCCAGTCGGCCTGGTGGTCAAATCCCTCTAGTGTTAACTACAACAATTAAGGCTTGGCTAGAACAAGACTGCGCACAAAGACAACAAGGGGGTGCACCAAGAAAGCATAAAAGATGCGGAGACAAAAAAACATGACAGAAATGGAGGATATGGAGCTAAGAATCGCAATTTTGAGGGCTTGCTATAAACTTGAGCAGAGCCTCACGAAAACTAATGAGACCCTCGATGCTACGATAAAGAAATTAGAAAGTAAGCATACACTGACTGAAATAAAGAATATTATACCCAATAGCAGACCAGAGGAGCACAAGAATCAAACCAAAGATTCGACTAAAAACACCCAACTGGAAAAGCAAAATGAAAAAAGAATCCGAAAGTGTGAAGATAGTGTAAGGAGCCTCTGGGACAGCTTCAAGCGCACTAATATCAGAATAATAGGGGTGCCAGAAGATGATAGACAGCAAGATATTGAAAACCTATTTGAAGAAATAATGGCAGAAAACTTCCCCCACCTGGTGAAAGAAATGGACTTACAGGTCCAAGAAGCGAAGAGAACCCCAAACAAAAGGAATCCAAAGAGGACCACACCAAGGCACATCATCATTAAAATGCCAAGAGCAAAAGACAAAGAGAGAATCTTAAAAGCAGCAAGAGAAAGAGACTCAATTACCTACAAGGGAATACCCATACGACTGTCAGCTGATTTCTCAACAGAAACTTTGCAGGCCAGAAGGGAATGGCAAGAAATATTCAAAGTACTGAATACCAAGAACCTACAACCAAGATTACTTTATCCAGCAAAGCTATCATTCAGAATTGAAGGTCAGATAAAGAGCTTCACAGATAAGGAAAAGCTAAAGGAGTTCATCACCACTAAACCAGTATTATACGAAATGCTGAAAGGTTTCCTTTAAGAAGAGGAAGAAGAAAAAGGTAAAGATACAAATTGTGAACAACAAACATGCATCTATCAACAAGTGAATCTAAGATCAAGTGAATAAATAATCTGATGTACAGAATGTGCGGGAAGAGACTGCACAAAAATCATACACTTTGGGATGAGGACAGTGGGGGGGAAGGTAAGGACAGAGAGTGGGGTGGGAACCGGGTGGAGGGAAGCTATGGGGGGGGAAAAAGAGGAACAACTGTAATAATCTGAACAATAAAGATTAAATTTAAAAAAAAATAAACTCTAAATGGATAAAGGACTTAAATGTAAGACAGGAAACGATAAAAATACTAGAGGAATCCAAAGGCAACAAAATCTCAGACATATGCCGAAGCAATTTCTTCACCGATACAGCTCCTAGGGCATTGGAAACTAAAGAGAAAATACACAAATGGGACTACATCCAAATAAAAAGCTTCTGCACAGCAAAAGAAACCATCAACAAAACAACAAGAAAGCCCACTGCATGGGAGAACATATTTGCCAATGTTATCACTGATAAGGGTTTAATCTCCAACATTTATAGGAAACTCATACAACTTAACAAAAGGAAGATAAACAATCCAATAAAAAAATGGGCAAAGGACCTAAATAGAAACTTTTCAAAAGAAGACAGAAGGAAGGCCAAGAGACATATGAAAACATGCTCAAAGTCACTAATCATCCGAGAGATGCAAATCAAAACAACAATGTGGTACCATCTCACACCTGTCAGAATGGCTATCATCAACAAATCAACAAACGACAAGTGTTGGAGAGGATGTGGAGAAAAGGGAACACTCATGCACTGCTGGTGGGAATGCAGACTGGTGCAGCCACTATGGAAGACAGTATGGAGTTACCTCAAAAAACTAAAAATGTAACTACCATTTGACCCAGTGATCCCACTTCTAGGAGTATATCCCAAGAAACCAGAAACACCAATCAGAAAGGATATATGCATCCCTATGTTCATAGCAGCACAATTTACAATAGCGAAGATTTGGAAACAGCCTAAGTGCCCATCAGCAGATGAATGGATTAGAAAACTGTGGTACATCTACACAATGGAATACTATGCTGCTGTGAAAAAGAAGGAATTCTTACCATTTGCAACAGCATGGATTTAACTGGAGAGCATTATGCTAAGAGAAATAAGCCAGTCAATGAAAGAAAAATACCACATGATCTCACTCATTTATGGATAATAAAGACCATTATAAAATGATGAACAAAAATAGATACAGAGGCAGAGCAGCATGGAACAGACTGTCAAACCACAGCGGGAAGGCCGTGGAGGGTTGTGGGGGGTGGGGTAAGAGATCAATCGAAGGGCTTGTATGCATGCATATAAGCATAACCAATGGACACAAGACACTGGGGGGTAGGGGAGGCTGGGGGAAGGTCAAGGGGAAGAAAAAAAAAAGGAGACATGTGTAATACTCTTTGTAATACTTTAAGCAATAAAACAAAATTTAAAAAAAAATTTGGCCCATAGAAAATGGGTAGTAAACATGAGACTACAATATTTTAATTTAAAAAAAGAACATTACTTGTTCCTGAAGCTTCTTCAAAAACATTTTGTTGGCATTGAGAATTTTCTCTGTTGCTTGAAGCTGTTCTGTAAGTTTGGCAATCTTTGTTTCAGCATTTCGAACAGATTCTTTCTTCTTAGCTTCTTGCTGTACTAGATGCTTTAAAACAGACTCATCTTTCATCAAGAGAATCCTAATTTAAAAGTAACAAAATCCTCATTAATATTTTTCTAAACTAGTGGACTAAACACCATCAGAATAAAAATTACAAAGCAGTAGTTCATTTTTAAATATATATTTATGATATACAGGTGAGAGTTTTAAAAGATTAATATTTTATACTCATCAATCACACAGGTATTCAAATAGGCAGTTAGATTTTATAAAAGTAACTATAGGTCTTTTTTTAAAAAATCATTTAAAGCTAAGTTAATAATAAATGTTTAATGTTGGATGAATCTGACCCCATATGACTTCTGAAAAATGAGGACTTAGGCAGAATGTTCTGTTTAACTTCATATATAATGAAGAGATTAACCAAATAACTTATATGCACATATGCATTACCCATGGACACAGACAATAGGGTGGTTAAGACCAGGGGCATGACAGGAACCATGGTTGGGGGAACAAAGAGGGAAACATCTATAATTCTCCCAACAATAAAGATTCAGAAAAATGAAAATAAAAAATAACAAGATTTAAATTTTAAGAGCTGGTTAGCAAATTATAAAAACAGGACAGAGAAAGTCTCACCATCTTTACACAGAACCTTATGTTTTTAAACCTGTATTTTTAAATCTAAAAGGGGACTGAGTAGCAGAACAAAGCTCAGAAATGTTGATGTTATCTAAAACCATTTTGCTCTCCATCAATTAATGATATCAGGGTGTTTGGAGTGGAAAAAAATGTCTATCCATAAAATGATGTAATTATTTCTATCAAGTATATGTTACTGGCCCTCATCACAAGACAAAAATTTTGTAACTACACATGGTGATGGATGTTAACTAGACTTACTGTGGTGATCATTTCACACAATACATCCAAATATCAAATTATTACGTACGTTGTACACTTGAAACTGTTACCTGTCAATTATACCCCAATAAAATAAATAACCCCCAAATATGCCAATGTATTCAAATACGTTCTATCATTCAACATATTCAACTCGTGAGGTTTTACACATTCTCAAAATTCTGAAACACCACTTGAACGATACAATAACCTCACAAAACATGCAAGAGGTTTATGATCCTTAACTTTATATTCAGTTTATAATAACACAAGATTTGACCATGTGTCTTATTGGACAAACTAGATGACTATTTCCAACAATCAAGTTCATCTTTAACAATAAAAATATGCCTCTAAAGAAGGTATTTCAAAAATCATGCCAGAAGTTTTAAAGAAAATTCCAAATAAGCCATGTATAAAACTGAAGGAACAAACTCATTTGAAGTCTTGGTATTTTTATTTAAATATTATTACTTTAGGTAAATGTATAATTCACCAAAATGATAATCTTATAAAATTCTACCAAGTATAAAAGAATTTGTAGCCCTAGCTGGTTTGGCTCAGTGGATAGAGCGTCAGCCTGCAAACTGAAGGGTTCCGGGTTTGATTCCAATCAAGGGCACATGCCTGGGTTGTGGGCTCGATCCCCAGTAGGGGGTGTGCAGGAGGCAGCCAATCAATGATTCTCTCTCATCATTGATGTTTCTATCTCTCT